TGGGCAGTATTGCCACGGCCCCGCCCACCAGTGGGCAGGACATGAGAATTTGTTGCAGACTCGTACACGGCGCGGTGGTCGTTTGTTTTGTGCAAAAGTCCAGCACAGCTCGTTGGCGGGTGTTACTTTACGGTGCGACAAAAATTATAACAACAAAAATAAAACAAAGCAATCACAGTGTGGCGATTCACTTACATTCACCCTCCTCAAAACAGTGGGTCTCACGATATTGAACACCGCCGCCACAGCTGCTGGTACATTGCGTCCAATCACCCAACTTCCATGAATACCTCTTCCCTCTGGTGTTGTTAACCGCAGGCAAAGTGAATTCGTAGTAAATGCTTGCATTCAGTACCTCACCGCGAACAATTACCTTATTATTAATGCATTGCAATAACAATATACATATATATTAATGATAATATGTAAGTAAATTTGGGCATAAGAACATAAAATAAAATTGCATAGAATAAAATAAAATAAACAAAGAAGTCTGATTACACTGTGCGACGAAATCCAAAAAAAAATTCAAAACGCCCAAAAATAAGCACTATATTCACGAAACTATGCGCCAGATATAGTGAAACTGCTTATTTAGTTTTTCTCTATAAAGTCAGGATTTTTTAGAATAATAAAATTGGTACCAAATGAAGGAAAAAATTCTGTAGACTTGAAAAAAGTTCAAGTCTTTTTGTTCACAAGGACGAATAGGTATTGAAAATACTTTTTTAGTTAATTATATTTTTGTAGGCTCTTTAATAAAATTGGCAGGGCGAAATTCAAGGATGTGGTCATGTGTATATTTGTCCTTAACATTACTTTTTTTTTTAAATACATACTGCAAATTTTCAAGGATATTTAAGGACAGCACCAAAAAATTGATTAATTCCACAGAATTTTCTCTATTATATGGTACTCATATTTTTATTCTAGATTTCACTAATTTTTTTTTTAATTTTTTAAATAAATAACACCTTTAAAATTCTAAATCCTTTTAACGGAAGTTCTGGCGTCATAGAAAAAAATTAAAAACGTAGTTTTACTATTTTTGGCCCCTAGTTTCGCAAATATATTGACTTTTTTGTGTGTGTAAAATTGAATGAAGGCACCCTCTGCTTGTCAAAGATAAAGTGGAGAAGGGCTTGGCTTCACTTGGCATTTCCAATTGGCGGCAGTTGGCACAGAAGAAACGACTGGCGTGCGTTTTTGGGCTTGGCCAGAACAGCCTAGGCGTTTACACCGCCAGTCAAGAAGAAGAGAAAGAAGTCTAAAGAGCGAAATAAACCACACAAGTTGCTCGTCAAACCTACTTTTTTATTTCGCCATACACCATACAAGCATGACTTGTGCAAACAGAGAAATTTAGTATTCTTCCGGTTCTCATTGCAAAAAAAACTGGTATTCTTCCATTTTTTTTCTTCTACGTCCTCACTCAGTGAAAACTTCGTTGCGATCAATCAATTTGCGAAAATCAATTTTTATTTCTGTTTAAATTTCTCTCGAGCGGTTTGTGAAACCTTTAAGCGTAGCACACCCGTACACAACACAAATGGCTTAAAGCACAGAGTTTCCCCCGGCAGTTGTGTGGTTTAATTCGTTCTTAAGATCGGGCGAAATAATAAGACAAGAAGCAATGTGTAGGCGGTGTTATAAAAATCAAAATTAGGTCTTTAGAAGCATCAATTTTGTCCGAATTTGCTTGGGTAGTTACTGAAATATCGGAAGCTTTGAATTTTTCAATAATTCAATTGTGTCGATTTTAAATAAAAAATTTGCCTGAGGCTATCAAAAACTTACTCCTAAAGATTTGTTGAGCTGTCCATATTTCTACAGCAGTTGTTTAGTGTACAGGTGGTAAGTGGGCGTGGATTTTGATCGATTGCTTAATAAGACAGGAAACGATAATTTTAACGTGTTTAATAGATTTTGAGTGAGTTCTTTAAGGTAGGTGTGGTTGCCACTGCTATGGATGGACATATATAGGCCACGAATTGAAGGCCCGTAGTGATACCACAACTAAGAGTTTTAACTTCCCTTGCTGAACCATTTTGAATACTTGACGAAACTCGTCAGGCACCTAGGACTTAAATCTCCCAATTTGTCAAGGTCACTAAAGAAATAAGGCCCAGAAAGCACTATCTACCCCTCGACAATACCGGACAGTAACAGAGAATGTGGAGAACTAGCTCTCCCCTTGCTTAAAGACTATGGCAAATTCTAGCTTTTAGCGAGTGGGCTTCTGTAGGCATTGAAGTCTCGTAGTTTTTGCATTTTCTCAAAAATACCACTATGTATAGGAGGAGTGAGCGGATAGTATTCGATTTTGCCCATTTTAATTACCAGGCAGCCTAAGGCAAAGGGACAATTTTTGTTTGAGATATCTCAAATTAGACTTCAAAAATAAAGCGTTCTTTTTTAAATCAGATAAATATGTATGTACTCACATGCACTGTTATTGGATTTTCAATTGGTTGAGGAATTTTTATGCTCTCTTGTTCGTCTGCCCGATCATATAAGCTTTCTGTGCCTGCGACATTAAATTCTCCTGGCATCGATATAAGACTATCGCCATTTAAGTAGAAATAACTACTGTTTGCCTTTGAAATGCCGAGAAAATGTTGCGAGTTGGTTAGCTCCTTTATGATGATGTGGCGCGCCTTAGCAGGAATAGTGACAACTTCTACATAGCCATCGGTTATGTTAAAACTTTCCTCAAATCGTTCCTGAAACATCAATCGCAATATACCAACTTCATCGACTTTTTCTTGCTTTACTCACCTTTATAAACTTACATTGATCGTTATTGCCACCACACACCCCACACTGATCTTCTTCCATATCGGAGTCCACAATCCAATCACATCCAACTTTCTAAAACGCAGTTCAGTTAACTGATTACACTGCTCAATCGCCATTTTAGCGACTCGACAAAATATTGTTCACACATTAGTATTTATAAGTGGTAGTCTAATTTCAAAAGGACTTTGCTCCACAGGCTCACTTTGGCCACTATTTTATATGTACAAAGAGTGTATGTGAATCGGTAAGTTCGCGGCGAGTAAATTTTTGACAACTATTAGGTGAACAAGTTTTCAGTAGCTCATGAGGCTAGTCAAATTTTTGACAAAAGTATAGAAAATTTTGACAATCGCAAAGATTGTTGATGTGTGTAATTTTTCGTTAAATAAAAGCTAAATTGATGAATTGCAATCAACGATGGAGGATGTTTTCTTAAAATATTAATTTCACTTCAATTTTTAATATTTTATTCCACATAATGGCGCATTTACTTGGTATGAAGCCATATGAACTGTACGTTAAAATAGAGGGACTACATGTTCTAATGAGGAATTCAATGAT